AATATTATATTATAATATGTATATATATATATATATATATATATATAATATAATATATTATATATATTATGTATATATATATATTTATATATATATATTATATATTATTATGTATATATATTATATATAATTATATATATAGATATATATATATATATATATAGTATATGTATATATGTTAATTATAGTATTATATATTATATAATATACTTATATATTATATATATATATAAATATATGTATTAAATGTGTGTGTGTGTGTGTGTGTGTGTGTGTGTGTGTGTGTGTGTGTGTGTGTTTGTGTGTGATGTGTGATTGTCGGGTTGTAGTTGTGTGAATGTGCGGTATGCTGTCGAATTGTGTGCAATGTTGTAGTCAATAAGTGTGCATGTTAATGCATATGAATGGTGTCGTGTAATAGATTATATACATGACCATTCAATACTTTGTAGTGTTATATAATATAATAATGTATTGTAATAATATGTACTAAATGTATCCTAGACATCGAGTCATAATTATTCCAGGACCGTCCATATATTTTTGCATACATTTGCAAAGAATAAACTATGTGATTATACTCGATATCATACAAATAAACGTTAGATACAATGTGTATACTTGCGACACATCACATATATGTATACTACAACGTTAAATACATACTATACAAACTCTACTCTCAACACACAAGAGGAGCCATAAAATTAGTATATAAAACACATTTACAATACTAATTGTAAAAGCTCGCGTAAGCGCGGCCCACACACAATCACCACACGCACACGCACACCCATCCACACCTCTCACACTATATATTAATTATATATTATATGCAATATGTTTACCTATATTGTATAATATTGGTATATTATTATATATAGTATTTATATATTACTATTTGTTTAGTTATATATATGATATTATTATATGTATATGTATATATAGTATAATAGCTAATTATTATATATATAGATATATATAGTATAGTTATAGAAATTAAAATATAATATATCTATATATTATACTAGTATAATATATTATATATTATTATATATATATATATATTATATATATATAGTATATAGCTATATGCTTTAGATATATTTATATCAGTCACAAATATATATATATATATAGCGTAGATCGATTATATATATTATATATATACATATATATAGTGATATATATAAATATAGTATATTTATATTATATTAGTTATATATATATATATATTATTATATAATATTTATATATATATATTATATATATATATATATATATATAGTATTATTATAAGTGATATATATAACTATAATATAAATTATAATATATATAATAGATATTGTATTATATATATATTCAGTACTATTTCTATAATGTGGCTACACACACACACACACAACACACACCACCACAACACACACCCACCCACACATTGTGTATATATATCTATATATATTATATTATATACTATATATATATATATATATTTATATATATATATATATTATATATAAGTATTTAAACATATACATACATACATACAGTCATACATACCAATAATTATTATAGCTTATATATTAGTTATATATACTGTGTAAATTATATATATTGATATTAATTATATTTATATGAGACAGAGGGGAGTAAACATATACATACATACCATCATACATACATACATTACTGCATAGTTACATATTGTATAGTATGAGAGTTATAAATAATATATATATATATTATATTATTGTTATCAATATTATATACATATTATAAGAGTATATACTAGTATGAGATACTACTTAGTAAAGTATAGTGATATTTGTATCGTAATATTATACTATATAATAGTATATAGATACCTTTAATATAATATATATTATATATTTTATTATAATATAATCATATACAGTATTTATGTATTAAATAAAGATTTGTAGTATATACGCTATTCAACTAATGTATATACAGTTTATACTGTATATATATCTATATATATTATAGTATACTATATTATATTAATATATATATTACTTATATATATAATTATTATATAACATGTTTGTGTGTGTCTGTCCGTGTGTGTGATCTTTAATAATATTTTTTTTTCCTATACATATAGCGTGCTTATGTATTGATATCGTTGAGAAGAACTGTGCAATCATTCCTCTTGCCACTCCGGGCGCACATCTGGAATTTTAGGTAACTTTTCTTTTCTTTTCTCCTCTTTTTTCTTTCTTTTTATTTCTGCCCTTCTTAAAGTTTCCCCTAATTCATCCTTTATTATTTCGCTAAGCTATTCAACCTTTGCATGGGGCCTGGAGTGAATGGTAATGATGATGATCGTTCTATTAATAACTAGATTTTGATGATAATTACAGAGGTTAGAGGAGGATTATAATCAATAGACGAATGATGGCTTGAGGAGATGATATGATAATGATACAATAATAATGGTAATAATAATAGAATTCATGGATGATAGTATAAAATGATAGTAAATAGGCGAAAAAAATATTATAACAATAATAATAATAAATCATAATAGTGAATAGAGTAATAATTAATGATAGCCAATAATAACAGAGTAGAGAGAAAACAACAAATAAATGAGTATTGGTTATGAAATACATGATGACAATACAAAAGGTGTAGTAATAGTAATGAAGATAACAATGATATATTGATAACGATAATGATTGTAATAAAAGTAATTAAATAAAAATAGATAAACAATGATAATATGAACATGATAGATTGTTAGATAAATATAGTAATATGATAAAAGGTGGATGATGATGATGGATTAAAGGATGTATATAAATTATAATAGTAATAATATAATATAACTAAGATATAATAATTATAATAATAAATAATAATAATATAATAATATACGAATAAAATGTGTATATAATTAATATTTGATCGATATATAATGATATTGATAGTAATAATGATGATAATAGCAACATAGATTATAGTAACCATAATGGAAATAAAAAAAAATGGACTAGTAAACATAAATGATAATGGTATTATAATTGTAACAATGCTAATAATAATTAGTAGATATAATCGATAAATTGTGACAAACAGTAAATTGTAAATGAGATAAGAAATGCTATAATAAATAGAATTAATGGAATAAATTAAATGATGATAAAATGATGAATAATGATAAATTATGTAATAGTAATGATCGAAAAAATGAATGACTATAATAATAATACTGGGAATAATAGTGATGATATTACTACTAAATAATAATATAATGGTGGATTGATAATAATATAATGATAATAAATTAATATTAACAATGATAATAATAATGATAATGGTATAATAGTACTAATAACACCAATAGCGATAATGATAATGAAAGTAATAATAATGATAATGTATTGCTAACAAAATGATGTTAATACCAACCAATAATATGAAGCAAATTATGATTGAATTATGATCTATGGATGATGGATAGTAATTCATGGATGATAATAATAATGATGATACTAATAAATAATGATAGGACATTCCAACATCAATATGATTGATAAAGAATGTTTACGATGAAATAAGATGTTATTTTTTTAAGCAATTATCATAATTATAATCAATTGATAATGATAATGATAATGAAAATAATATAATATGAAAAATAATAATGATTAGTAAATGTGAAAATAATGTGATGACATAAATATAACAATAGCAATAATGATGATGACTAATAATAATGCGTAATGAATGATATAATAATGATGATAATGATAGTGTCATGATAAAAATAGGGTAGTCAGTAGTAATGATGACGAATGACAATAATGTGATAATAAATAATTGTGAAAAGAATGATAAACAAAGTAATAATGAAACATGAAATGATCTGGTATAATGATATTTGTAATTAAAATAGTAATACTAAAAATAATAATGATGTAATAATATGAGTGAAATGATATAATAATACATATAAATATAGAATATAATACTAATATTAAACAACCAAATAAAAAGTGAATGAGAATATGTAATGGAAGGATGAGAAGAAATATCAACATTAAAAAGAACAATGATAGTAATAGTAAATATAATAAACAGTAACTTAGATATCAATAACCATAGTGATAGAGTTGATGATGTAAACAACTTTGAAAGTTTTTATCGTTTTATCGTAGTGCGTTATATCACGTCTTAAATGCAAAGACGTGTGCCATTTGCTACTGCATAATAGATCAGCAGATAAAGCCTCTCACAGCCTACCACAGCTCTGAACGTTAAACAGTAGCTTTGTTACTTTCATCATATTACCTCATCATCGCCAACTGCAGGACTCAGTGGGCCAGAGGCAGTGCAAGTTTGGGTTATCCAAGATTACCCAATAGAGTGTCTTAAAACCAAGCGAAGAATCTCCTTTGCCTGATGGTGCTCCTTCCTCTACGCCGCCTGGGAGGAGACTGTCTGCCTTACCTCTCTCCTTATGCGAATGTTTCATGGCCTTCTTGTTTTTGCTTTCTTTTTTTTTTTTTTTTTTTTTTTTTTTGCCTTTCTTTTTTCCTTTCGACTTTTTTTTTGGTCGTTTTTTTCGAGTATTCATGTCAATTTTTTGCCTTTATTTAATCAAAGGGGCAGTCCCCTAAATATTTCCTATCATACATTCATCTTACTTTCTCAAGTGACTCAACTCAAACCCCATCAAGATATGGCCCGTATAATTTTAGATGGTCAGAAAAGACCACTAATTTACTCTCTGTTACTTTTTTTGTATTGAGGGAGCTCTTGGCACAGGTGTCAATTCCCCATTCATTTAAAAAAACTGCCTGTAACGACCACGCCCGCTGTGAAATGGCTCTCAGTGAAATAGTGTCTTGATCTAACAGTGACGCACTTCGCTCCTTGACCCCGGGCGGGCGCAAACGGGGTGCCAGGCAGGTGCAAGAAGGAAGGTTTGACCTTGCTTGAGTTTCCATCCAGGGGGAGGGGAGGGGGGTAGAATGGAGGGGCGAGTGCCAGGTCGTGGAGCAAGAGGCCGGTATATAAAGGCAGCGACGTTAGCCCAGAACACAGCATCCACCACCATGAAGCTTCTGGTGAGTCGTGTCTTCTCTCACTCCTTCACCAGTGCCTTTTCTTGTGATTTTTCTACTGTTGAGTGATACGAAACTAGATGATAACGCCAGTGTCGTTGGCAAGGAAAAGACAATTCCATAGGCTATATTCGGGATTATCTGTTCAATATTTACTGATATGAACTGTTCTTGACACACCTGTACATTGTGTGACTAATTGCCTTTAGTGTGCTATGTAGAAAATTATCTAGGACACCCAACCCAGAGTGCTTCTTAACATTCGATATTTACAAGACCAGCATGAAATGATAAGTCGACTTCGATTATATTATTGCCATTCTTATGAACTTCGACGAAAAATTGATAACGCTAAACAACCTCAATTACTTATGTTAAAATAATTGAAAAATTAAATGGAGTACAGACTGAGCTCCATCACGATTATGAAAACTCACCGAAGACGAACCAGATTTAGTAGCATAAATTGGTGTGATATATACTATATATGACTTTTTTGTATGTTTAATATATATACATATATATATATATATAGTATTATCATATATATAGATAGATAGTAGATAGATAGATAGATAGATAGATAGATATACTAGATAGTATATAGATATAGATATATAGATATAAATAGATATAGGATATAGGATGGATTATAGATATATAATATATATATATTTTATATATATTTATATATACTTTCTATATATTATTATATATATATATCATGTATATATATATATATATTATA